ACTACAGCAAAATAGATACTAGTCGTCTGAAATACAAATGGTTGGAGGTAACATTAAACAATTGTACATGTAGAGCTGAAGCCTGAAAGTAAGAATATAGAGTTCAAACGTATCTTTAGGTGCTTTGGATATTGGACTTTGAAGCTATATCAATGGAGAGCACATACATCTTGGGGAAGCATAGCTTGCATTTCACTCGCATATTGCGGCTTTTCTCGGACACACATTCAAAATAAGGGTTTAGATACGGCCACGGTAGGACAGAACCTTCGTCTTCCACCATCATGAGTGTGACAGCTTGAGTGAGTGAGAGTATTGCAGAAGGGAAAGGCAAAGGAAATGTTTCGCAGCCAATGGAGTGTCGAGAAGGTTGCTTTTATAATACGAAGGTAGTTTTTTTTTTTTTTTATGGTGTTACACGTGCTGATGCGGCCGCCTCGAGTTTCACGGTGTTTTGTGTCAGCCAGCCGGCAGATAAGTCGCTAAGTCAGAGTCCAAAGCTAGATCGGATCAACTGACGATCGTTCGAGAAATTCTCGCTTGACACCTGTTGTGAGGCGAGAGGTCACCTTAGCTTTTCGGAGCTAGCAACAGGATTTGATTGCATAAAATAATGTTCCCTCGTGCCACGCCGATGCCGCTTCATACCAAAAAACTCGAAAAACGGCGGAATGTCAAAAATGTATATGAGATAATGGGTACAAGATACTTAAAAATGTAATTAAAATACAGTATAAAATACTCTCGATCAAAAGTATTTGCAAGATACCAAGATACTTCAAAAAGTATTTAAAATGCAGTATCCCGAGTAGAATATTTGAGATAGGCTCAAGTCTGGCTGAAACAGTTACGTGATCGAGAGGAGGCTCACATTTTTTTCTTGGAAACCACCGAAGCAGGCGAAAGAAATATAGCGGAGTAAAATGTCCTAACAATAAAAAACTAACGATAATTGTCGTAATAACAAAATCAAAACGCGAAGACGAAAAAAAGAAAAAAGAAATAGCTCGGCGCATTTCTGTCGGATGCAGTGGCACGAGTCTACAGCTTCTAGAAATGCTTAATTGACGTGCTGGCTGACACACGTTCCTGCCAGAGAACGTTTTAAAGCAAACAGTGGTCCAATTATATATGTCAAAAAAGGAAGTATTGGAAACGTTTAGGTTATCATGGCATTTTGCTATCTTAAGGGGCTCTTTCGTTTTTAAACATATTTGTTTAGAAATTTCCAAAAACAATGAGCTAGGTTTGTAAATATATATTTTGACAATCGCCCCTTTTTTCTTAATTACAAAATAACGATATAATAGTCTTTTGCGAGTTAAACTTTAATACCAGATTATTATGTCGCAATAGTTTCTTCTCGCCCTATCGGTTTTGCCATTAACTTAGATAAATACTATAGGCTTCGTGAATGGCGCCATCTCTTGTGAGCGCGTGACTTCTAGTGCCGCGTTATACGCATGATAGGCGGATGTTAGATTCGCAAATAAAACTCAAAAAGAAATATCCTACGTAGCCTACGAATGACAGCCGACGTTCGATTAAGTAGCGTGTAGCCTCGAAGAAGCCGAGCCTCTCTGTGAAACCTTGACCTTCAATCTGGTGCCAACCGAAGAAGGTTCGTGTTTCGGTATTTCTTTTTATACTTCTTTTTATGCTACGCTCCATTTCGCCTAACGACCGACCGCAGAAGACGCTACGAGGTTGGTAGGCTGAGAGCACAGCATTGGCTGGGATGGCTCGTATAGTCCGCTGCGGTAATGGGGTGTATGTTAGCCTACATCCATGTTTTGTTTAAAGCTTCTCTCGATTCTGAAATACAAATATGAAGCTGTGACCGAATTCCGAGGGTCCGATGACAAAATAAAAGGGACATCAAATCTATGTGGAGCGCAAGCTCGTCTGCTTCTTTTGCAGGGGTTGTGATGACGTCAGAAAAACGCCGAGCTCTGATTGGCTCCGATTGAAGGATAGAGGGTAGACCTCGAGGCAGCTTGCTTTAAGGTCTACCCTCTATCCTTCAATCGGAACCAATCAGAGCACGGTTTTCTGACGTCATCACAACCCCTGATAAAGAAGCAGACGAACTTGCGCTTCGTATAGCATTGAGAAAACGGCACTAGGGGAAATGGTAAAATATATTTTATAACAAGTCGATAAAATTCTCATAAACCATAGGTTATGCCCCTGCCCCGAAATATTGGCTCGCGTGCTGCGATATTTTACGATCGGAGAGAACAGTTCACGTATGAGCATGTTATGGCCAATTTTACGCGAGGCGAACGCGGTGAAATTTTCAACGGGTTTACCGATCTCTGGGGAACTTTTTACGTAGCCGTGATGAGGAGCAAAACATTATCGTTCGCGATTGCTCATTTGTAAGCTGGTTCTTTAGGTATAGGAGCTCCCTATAGTTGGTTGGTGATGAAAGGAATTGCGTTCATCTTGAGAGCGCATAGTGAATTCGGAGCTTGCGCGGCATTTTAGCGGAGAAAAGTTGGGGTGTTCCACGTGGCCTTGGGGTGGATCGGCGTGGGAGGTGCGACTAGCAAGTAGTCCGAAGGTTACGGGCATGACCTCGGTTCCTTAGAAAAAGTCTCGCCGGAGATGGAAATTCGGATGACGTAATTCGTTTGCCACGCGGAGTCGTTTCCTTAATGAGCAGAAATGACTCGACGGGGTTGAATGACACACGCGACGAAGCCAAAGGATTAGAAGGACGATAATTGAATTAAAGTCCCTAGTACCGGATGTACTCTGGGCAAATGACATCACGATGTAGTAAAGAAAAAGTGCAATATTGTATAGGTGCGTTTGTATGTGCGTAGCATATATTTCAATTACGGGACTGCTCTTTTTTTTCAAGTGGCAATAGAGTAGGCGGTTATATTTTGAAGTGGTAAGCATCTACTATTGTTTTATGTTATAGCGCATCGAGGAAGGCAAATAACTAAATGCGCAAGTAACCAATCTGTGGAAGCAGAGTTATAACCAACACAACCGTGTTCGGGCTCAGGTGCGACTTGAGAACCCTGTGAATACAGTTCAGGTACATGCTTTTGAAGAAAAAAAGCGACTTCGAATACCGTTGCTTTTACTTTCCTCAAGGCAGGTAACAAACCAATCACTGCAACATTAAAAAAAATAAGCAAAACAGAGAAAAAAAAAAAAAGAGAGGGAGGGGAAAAAATGGAGGAAGAGTGTGCAATTTAATAATTAAACCAAGTTTTGAAAAAAAAAAAAGAATTGACCTGCGCTGGTTTTTTAAACACGTCAGCGCCATGCTCATTGTGCCAGCGCGGATCGTGAACTTCTTAGATACAAAACGGTTACTGTGATTCGCAATTCATCGCATTCTTATGGAAACTGGGCGACACTGTTAGCGCAAAAGCGGCTTCAGTGTTTTGTTCTTCTGTTTTTTTTTTCGATCTACTTTGAAAGGGTACTGACGGGCGTCAAAATTTACCGCTTAGGTGAGTACCCCGACCGAGAACGCGTGAAAAGCGTATACCGATGGAATGGGCAAATTTACCGCTGCTTCTGCTACTACAGAAGGCACGCAGAGCTAGAAAGCGCGTGATAAACGGACGTACCGTGCGGACTTGTCGAGTTGAAAGCCTTTGCGGGACCCTGAAAATACGAGGCACGCTCTCCAGGTCTTTCTTCACCAGCAAGTTTCAAATTAAATCCATATCTATCTTCATTAATTAAATAAGTTCACTACGCAAATCTAATTAAAATCCTAATCGTACTATACACGCTATGCGCGTCGATAAATAGGCCCCTTGTGAGTGACAAACACGGTACCTATCTTATTTCTCAGCGATGTGTACAATATTTGTTTTTTCCCAGGAAAGTTTGGCCGACGGTTCGGTGAAAGACCCCGTATATTGACGACACTGCGTCCTCTCGTTTGGGGTCTTCAACGAACAGCCTGCTGCGGCTATCCAGAGCGCAGCTGCCACGCGCGTTCCGTAAACAACCCCGCCAGCAGCTTCTAGGACCGCTGCCAAGACGTCTCTGGGTCCGGAGACGATAACAAACAAAAAACAGGCAAGCTTTTCGCAACGCCAGGAAAACTCGGAGTCGTGGGAGGTGGCGTGGTGAGTCCGTCCGCCTGCCGCCGCCCGGTCGGCATTGTGTCGCTTTCGACGCGGCGGCGTGGTAGGAGAGTACGCGACTACATAAATCGATAACCCAGTCACGTGCTCCACCGACGCCCTTGTCAATGATGCTACGGATGAGTGCACTTTCGACATATTTTATACGTTTTGTCCTCGAAGCTCGTGAAAGGTATCATTTTTGTCAGCGACCATAACCGAGATGCCACTCACGTTAGCGCTTTTGATTTTGACATAAGCCCATTTGTGCACCAGGGTGTGCCAACACTCTACCCATTCATTGATCGAGAAGGTCCACCGCGCCTACGAAACGCCGTCATACCGGTATTGCGAGTGCGTGCTTCTCCGGTATCTGGAAATACCCCAGGCTGCATGCAGCCCCCTCCCAGTGAGTCGCCAAGGTATTCAATTCGGATTACCCGATATACTGGTTATGCTTTCACAACTATACATTTCGAATAACTTGCAGTTTGAAAAACGGGAGAAATGACTGCTTCAATTATTTAATATTAATTTGCAGCCTTAGAGGAGATCTGTGTGACACATAAGATCGCGGTATCACACGACAGAAGCAAGGGGACAAAAACATTGTTTACTTCAGACTTTTGAAAAATACTTCGTTCCTAAAATTGTCTGCAGCTTAAAAAAAAAAAGAAAAAAAAGGAGAGGTTATAGAAAAAGAAACAAGACTCAGCTCTCCCCTAAAATTAAGGGGGAATATGATATACTTATCAATCCCTGAGCTTTTAAGCGCCGTTAACAACGGAGGATGAACCGAGTACTAGCCGCTTCGAGGTTCGGGCCTCGAGCTAGCCCTACCCTAGCTCACGCGTAGTCTCGTCTCTTCGGAGTAGCCGTTTGGCGTCTGACACTCACATGATAGGATCGCTGCACCGAGGAGAAGCCCAACTGCGCAGCTGCCCTTGAAAGCGCCGACGCTCCATTGGAGAGAGCGTGTCATCTCATCTTATCGGCGGCTTCCGGGCTTCCTGCGTTGCTGGATGGGCGAGGAAAGAGTCAGCTTGGCACCCGCAAAGCCATTGTGCTCGCTGGGCTGGGCGTCTGACCACCGGAGAACGTCGTACACGGCGCACGAGACCGAACAGTCAGTCAGCCGCCTCTGTTCACGACAGGGAGGCGGTTTTTTCGGCCTTCCTAATGTCGGCTTCACTCTTTCCAGCCTCCGGCATTTGAGAAAGAGGGAAAATGTCAGAGGACGAGAAAGATTGAAGGAGGAGGAGATAAACAAGGAGGAAGAGGCGGAGAGTTTCGGGAGGAAGTGAGGTACGCGAAGGAGGGAAGCTATTTCCGGTTTCGGTTTCGTCCCAGCGTCGTCTGCTGTCGGCTGCGGCTTCTTTGAGTAGGCGATGAAACGGGTCAGAGTAAAAATGTTTGTTAATTAACTTTTTTCCTTAACAGCTCGGAGGCATTAATTCCCTTTTCTGCGCGTAGATTGTCCTTTTTCTGCGCGTAGACAAGCGGCGCAGAGGATGTCTCGTCCATCTTTCGCACGAAAGGAATGAATGCATCTGGAGGCACGTCCGGACGTGCCGGGTCTTCATCCGTTCTGCGTATCAAGGCTTCTCCTCTCGAGTTCGTAATAAAATAATTTTGAAACATTGTCGATGATGCGTTTTCAGACGTGAAAAGACTTTTACGTTTCTTTCTCATTCCTAACAGCGATTTCGCGGTGACTTACAATTAAGCTTCATGGCCTCTAGAAATATAAACAGATAATCGAATACCCTAATGAAAACATCCCGTTCAACCCGAAATATTTCTGACAAAGAAAGAAATTGAGTTAGGATTTTACTTTGACCTACCTGGGTTTCTTACAAATATATTGTGGCCAAGGTGTAGCAAAGTATAAAACTCTACTGGTTCATCAAACACGCTAGGTAACCAGTTTTTAAACATAACGAATTATTTGAGGATAGCATAGAACTGTACTTATAATAAGAAACAGCGGGGTAGCTAAGAATGTTTTTCGAGGGGGTGGGGTTGCTATGCATATGTATGCGCGGTCGACTATAATTCAGGGATTAGGAGTCAAGAGATCCAATAAACCAAAAGATTCCATTTTGAACTTTTTGATGCTTTGGACACCTCCTTGTAAAGTAATCAAGGCCTGTGAGCCGCATTCTTTATCTCCACGTTATGTTATAAAAAAAAACAAAAACAAAAAAAAAACAAAAAAAAACGCTGAACTTTTTTTTTTTCTCCCCCCAAAAAATAAATAAAAATATCACGTGCTTATTGGTTACAAAAAAAAAAAAAAAAGAGAAAAAGCTTACACACGCAATAAACAAGGGAAACAATTACGTATTTTGAGCCTCGCGACGTGTTTCTACTTCGTGCTTCTCTTTCGGGTCAATGTAGTAAAAAGAAGCAAGTATCGGAATCGCTCCTCACTCAAACTCGATCTCAGGACGTAAATATTACGTTATTATTTTTCTTTTCGGGGAAAGTTTATTTTTTAACATACGTGTAAAATTTAGGCAGCTAAAAAAATTCTTTAGGGAGTTCGGTGTTTCTAGTGTTCTTGAAACATGCTTTTGTTTCGAGTCGGCGTACAAAATAGAGGCATAATCGCTCCTGACTCAAGATGCGTCTTGCTACATAAACACTGCGTGAAACAAATATCCTTTTTTATAAAGAGTTGTTTTAGTGTGGGACATACGTTCTACCTAAGTACTTAGAAAAATGTATTTATATATATAAATGGTCAGTTTAATATTCATTTATGCGTCGAAATCCCCAAATCGCGATTGAAACATTCTTTTTTACAAAAAGAATAAAAGAAAAATATTGCTAAAGAAAATAAAGTTGATCGGAAATAAATTCTCTTACGTATCGCTCTGATATTGTGGTGATCTTTTGTCAGTCAAACCGAATCCACCGTGAAGTAGACTCCTGACCTTCCATGGATCTCTTGACTCGTTGCGTTTCTTTGGCTCGATGCGTTTCTCGAGATAACTCCCATTCAAGAGATTTATCGAGTCGAGAAATACGACACGACGAAAGGTCCAGTACGGATTGATCCACAGTTTGATCTCTCGACGTGTTGAATTTCTTGACTTGTTATATTTCTTGATTTGACCCAAAGCCCTACGGCATTTTGATCAACCCCTCTCCCCTACCACCCCCCCCCCCCCCCCCCATTTCCCCCTTTTCAAAAAAAAAATTGAAAATATAATAAAAGGGGAACAGGGGGGAGGAGCAAGCGAAAATGATAATTTTAGATTTTTTTTTTTTTTGTGCCCGATTTCACAAAGGTCATCCTGGTTATATCCCACACAGCCCAGTGAGTTACGAAATCGCATAGTGAAAGCAAAATGTCGAAGGATAAAATTTATACTTTTGGTTCTTAATTTCTAGGCTAGGTGGCAGAAGCTGAGGCCGTAATAAAGGATACAGCCGTTAAGATTCATCCATCCAACCCTAGGTTTTTGGGGGAAAGGGTTCTTGCTTCGTGATTGGTTCTTCGGCGTTCTTGTCGGCTGACGGTGCAGCCTCATTGGCTGGAATAATAAGGTGCTCGGGACTAGCCACGCCCTGTGTTTCTTCAGCTGCCGTTGAATATTAAGCAGGAGATTGAACTATAGGGGGCGCTTTATCGAGCTTCTTGCTCGATAAAGCGTTTCCTTAAGAGGAAAGTTTTTAGGCTATATAGTGGAGATACGGAAGAGCAGGTCTCAGTTAAGAAGAAAGTTAAGGCCACAGAAAGAGATCGGTGGCTAGAGGGAATGCAGACAAAGACGGCTCTGGAAAGCTATAGATTAAACAAAACAGCTATTGCCAAAGAAAGCATTTATGACAATTCTAGGGGAAGCTCATTGTTCTTTGAGGCGAGGACGGGTGTTTTGCGAATTAGAACATACAGAGCGAAGTACCAGGAAGTGGATACAGTGTGCGCTGCTTGTGGAGAGGAGGACGAGACGGCTGAGCACTTGATACTTTACTGCAAAGGGCTTCACCCTATGCCTACCGAAGACAACATAGATTTAATAAAGTCATTGGGTTTTAGAGAAAGCGAAGGGAGAGTGGATTTCAAGACTGTAGAGACTTCCAAGCAAAGATTAAGTGAATTGTGGCAGAAAGCGAGAGAAAACCTGGTATTTTCTTTTTAACTGATGGCAAGGGGGTTTTATAGCCTCACTTTCTTTGCAGTGCGGAGTGAATATAGACTTCACATTTAAATATTCTAAGCTTAAATGGTAAAACAAAATGGCTAGGTGGCGTAAGCTACCGCCCGATCCAAAGGGCTCAGCCGGGTTCATACATCCATCCATCCATGTTGGGTGCCTACATGTCTATATGTCTCGGGGTGAAGACATCCATTGTTGCCCGGAATGTGCCAGCGCGTGACGCTCTGGCGCACTCAGTGCGTGACTTGGGCGGTAAAATGGCGTCTATGCATTAGCCAAAGCTACAGTGAACTAGAATATAGGGCAGTGGAGCGAGCGGAGAGCGGAGCGCCTTGTGTTGGCTGTCACCGCGGGTGGCGAAAGATGCGGCGGCGCTATGATCGCCGACTATTGAATGGGCAGACTGGGGCACGTTCGGACAGCGCGTTTCGTCTTCTTTCTTCTCACAGCGTGTTCTATTGCTACTTTGCTCGGAATAGTGGCCTATCCTCCAGTCGATCTGTGTGTTGACACTACGGGTCAATGAGCCTTAAAAGACGTCTGAACCACTGCTACGCTCCAGGATGCAACACAGGGTACGCCCGAAGCCACGACGCAAGAAAGCTCTCGATGTTCAAGGCGCCCGCCGATCCTGAACGAAGAAGGCTGTGGGATCAGAGCTTGCACAGAGCTGGCAAGCCGCTCACCGCAGACTGCGTAATTTGCGAACTTCATTTCCAACCACATTTCATTATTAGAGACTATGTGCACCAGATCAACGGTGAGGAAGTTCGCATCCCACGAGGGAAACCTACACTCGCTCCTGACGCTGTCCCCATGGATTCACGGAGCCTCCCACCTTGCACAAGCATGCATGCGGCTCCCAAGACAGATCAGAGGGACGTGACAAGCGACGAAGGTGTCACGCCAGCAAAAAAGTCACGCCCATCGACTGCAGACGGACCCGAATTTGTCGACCATCCAGATGGTACTAGCAGACCCCCTGTGGTCACACCTCTCGCCACGTTGAAGGGAATCATACCGCCGAACAGGCACTGGGTTCTTCACCAGCTTGACGACACCAAGGGAGTGTGTTTCACATCGTGCTCTCTCAACTCGCTCACCGGTGAAGTGAAGGTAGAAAAGGCAGTATTCTTCACCGCAGACAGTGCCGGTGTTTTCTATTCAAAGGCGTTTGTGCTTGGTAAGCTGGTGGCCGGCTCGGCAATGTCAAACATGCAGGACGCAGCAAACGTATTGCAGCGCGTGTGTGAAATGCATCCCTGCAACAGCGCCGCAGCACTAAACGAAGCTTTCCTGGTGAGCAACCTCACAACGAGCTTGCGAGACCAAACAGAACGCAAGTCTGGAACTATTTTCAGCGTTAACTGCCAAGGAAGGGCTACAAAAAAGGGCACAATTTGCACCGCTTGCAGATATTTAAGGAAGGCCCTCTTTACTCGGCAGTCACGTCTCAAAAGACGTAAAACAATGCCCAGAAGCACCAGAGGGTACGCTATGCAAAAGCTGCGAGCATGCACCCGCAAAAACAAGCGCCTTTTACTGAGGCTAGACAAGCTTGCAGGAGATGTCAACATAATGAAAAATGAATGTGCCGCGACTCCTGATGATGTGCTTACCGAAAAGATAAAGTCTCTGCCACCAAAACAGCAACTGGCTGTCAGACAATGCTTCGAAGCATCGAAGAGAAAAGACACACGCGGCATGAGGTATGACAAGCAATGGATTCTGGAGTGCGTCCTGCTTAAAATGAGAAGCCCAAAGCTCTATCGGTACATGCGTAGGCAGGGCATTCTGACCCTTCCAAGTGAGGCAACAATTAGGAAATACACAGCTCAGTACAAAGGTAGTTATGGCTTTAATGAAAAAATGCTGAGAGTACTGAAGCAAAAGACTGCCAAACTTGACGAGTTTCATCGGCACGGGGGTTTAATTATTGATGAAATGAAGCTCTCTGAACACCTGTCGGTCACTACAGGAGCCGAAATCGAAGGCTTTGTTAACCTAGGACCCTACACACCTGATGAACAAAAAACGTTGCCATGCAATCA